CTAAGATTTGCTTCTGAAGTCAGCGTAGCCAAACTTCCCATCGTGTTTTTTGAGAAGGAAAGCCAGGTGGGGCTCAAGTACTAGTTTGGCTCCTGACCCAACTTTTGGTCCTCTTGTAACTCCCTCTCCTCAACTCCAAGTACGTCTGTGCACGGACAGTGAGACAGAAGCATGCTAAATGCGAAAGCACAAATTATGTATTGAGAAATCACGACAATGCCAAATTTTTTTAGAATAAAAAATATATATCTTTAAGAACTCGCTGTGTTAGGGAAACTGTTTACATATTGAGGTGTTCCTCTTTTTTTTGATTGGAACAATAAAAAGAAAAATTTGATACTGTCTTGGTTTCTTCTTCATGTGTGTGTGTGAAAAGAAGTTGGCCTTTTCTACAGGTGGGAGCATGAATTGGTTTTGAAGTGTCGTGTCCTCTCACAAGACCACTCAGGATGGCGGACCTCCCACCATACAATCCAAGGATAGTATCATGGGCTTGGAAGGATCCTCTCCCTTTCTCCCTCCCTCTCTCCCTTCTTTCACTCCCCCCTCCTTCCCGCTCACCTGCCCCCTTCCTCCCTCTCCATGCTCCTCTTCCTCCCTCCCTCCCTCCCCCTCTCCACATGCTTTGCCCACGGCCAGATCCCAGCAACAGGTCATCTGGGCTCCTTCCCGCACCTGCCCACCCAGACAGGACCCACCTGATACCCATTTGTAGTTTGCACCTCACGGAACTTGAAAAAAAGAAAGGGACGTAGGGATTGACAAAGCACTTCATCACGGCACTCAGCACGATGCTCAGCGTCTTAACCAGAGGCATCTAACAATACATGATAAACTCTAATGTCGAACTAAAGAAACATTCCTAAGAGGGTTTTTCATGTTCTCAGTTTTCCGTTTTGGGTGGAGTTGGCTTTGCCTGACTGCAGGACCTCAGCTCTGACTCCTCACCCCTGGAGAAACCCAACGGCTTGGCCAGCCGGCCTTCTCGAGGGAAGGATGAAGGAAGCCTCTGAGTTCAACAGAGTTTTCCAATGACATGCCGGTCACCTCACACTAACATGAATGAAAGAAGTCATGTAAAAATATACCTAGGTTGCATTCTCTCCCAGAGGCTGCCAGACAGTGGGACGGAACCCTGAGGACACCATCACGATTTCATCCCACTTTTCCTACTGTGACCCCGCCCAGTATCACTGCTGTGCCTGATGGAGTTACTAACCTGTCATCCACATGCTCCTGCCACTTGTGCTTCTGTCCCACTTAGCACTCACGATGCCCAACAGGAACCCATGGAGATGCATCCGTGCCTTCAGGTGCCCAACGCAAAAGCCTGGTCTCTGCCTCTTGCTGGCTCCCCTAGAATCACCCTCCACATCACCCCAGAGGGGTCGTCTAAAGCCACACCCTGGTCAAAGCCATGCCTGGAGCCCCCTCATCTACTCCGGTGGTTTTCAAACTAAGCTGCAGAAACTTTCCTCTGAAGGAACTCTCAAACAGAAGCTCAATATTTAAGTCAGACAAAAGTGGAGGTGTCCTGTTGCAGTAGGGATGGAGGCTCGGAGCCCTGCCCCTTGAACTCAAGTGCCCTGGGGTCCTGTCCTTGGAGCACAGATTAATAATCACTGCAGGGCAGCATTATGTCCAAACTCCTCAGCTGGGAGGGTTTAAGGGTTGGCAAGTTCTGGGCCCCGGGCCCCTCTGCAACCAATATTCCACCCGACTAGCCCTCCTTATCAAATGTCTACATTCCCCTGACTGGGCACGCCCTCCTAGGCCACCTAGACTTTGAAAACATTGTTCTTTCTTCCTGGAATGTGAATCCAGAGCCACCCAGGGAGCTCAGACATCCTCCCCTCACTTCCCCTGACCCCAGAAGGCTTCCAAATCCAGGTCTTCAAAGCTCATAAATTAGCACTGGACTAGGTATTAATGTTTCTTGTCTGTCTCCCCAGTAGACAACAAACTCCTTCCAGCCAAAGATTGTCTCACTCATCTTTGTCTCCAGCACCCTCCGTATTGCTTGGCACTTAGTTGGTGCTCAATGCTTATTTGTTGGATGAATGGATGGATGGATGGAGGCAGGGAGGGAGGGAGGGATGGATGGAGGGATGCAGGGATGGATGGGTGGGTGGGTGGGTGGGTAGGTCATTGGATGGATCAATAGATGGGTGGACAAGTGGATGGGTGGGCAGGTGGGTGGATGGACAGATGGAATAGAAAAAGGAAGACACTCATAGTTTGCCATTCAGGTGACTATAGCAGTCAAAGAAACTCCTATTATTGCTTTCACAGTTGCATTATATCTTGAAAATCTCATTCTCTGCCAGCTGGGAATGATGTGGTGCTTCCTTCCATCTATGATAGAATAGTTTATTCTACCAAATCACATCATCCGACATTTTGACAAAACACCCTGCACTGTTCACATCCTGGCACATCCTGATGGGTGATATCTGTGAAATTCCTAGTTTACATTTTTTAAAGAAGTCTTCTTGTCTGATCATTGCTCATTCCTGTGACTTGATATTTACAACCAGTAGGCTGCAATTCAGCCACCTAAGGTCAGTAACTCAAGCAATTGTTACCCCAAAGAAAGGCACATGTGTCCACATTCGTCACTTGGGCTGGTCCCGTCAGGGTGGATGGACATTGTATCCAATGGGACTCAGAAGAGCACAGTAGAGGGGGACCCTGAACAGCCTGGCTCTCCCACTGCTAGTGCTTTCCTAGATGTCACTTTAGGCTTTCTTTAGCCAGCACAATGCACACATCCTTTTACAAGTTTGCTCATATAGTATGATCTTTCTTCTCTTATAAAGAAAAAAATTATTTTGCATCTTCTCAACAATTGCTCGGGTTACAATATTCCTAAATCACAACTTTATGTTTCTTTTTCCAAAATCCTGAACTCATCTCTAGAAGGAAAACTTGGGGGCTAACTTCCATCCCCAAAAGATACTCTGCCTTCCTGCCCCTAGCATCAAGGAATCCCAAAGAAAATGAGAAGACCAGATCCTCAAACCCTTGCTTGTTCCTACCAGAGTTGGGTAAACTGACGACAGAGCAGCCTTGCTGAAGGCCACAGTCAATACATTGTTGTCTTATTCCAGCTTCATTCCCACCAGGCCAGTCTCAAAAAGCATTGTTTTTCCACTTTTATAGACTCTAGGCAAGTAGATGACTCCTTCCCTTTGTGGACTGGCTGTATGAGGGCACAACCGCCACCACCACCAGTCATTAGCACGTTTACTTAGAGGTGCGGGGTCTTCCACATACATTATTGTATTTAATCCTTACAGCCTGACGAAATCAGTAATATTAGCCCTATTTTCTAGCTGAGAAAACAGAGGCTCAGAGATTGTAACACTTAGTGCAAAATTACCTTGCAAACTACAATCATAATCACACAATATAATATTGAATTGAAAGTTATACTGCTGGTTACCTATCAAAACATTCTGAGATGATCCAGCATATAGGTCCACTTGTGTTGAGAAGAAGAAATTGAATGACCCTGTATGGTGACAGGGTCATCAGGCTTGACCAGGAAGGGGAAGTAGAACATTAGCCAAGAAGTCAAGGCCAGCTGGGGCTCAACACTGGCTCATGATGGAGGAAACTAGCTGATGGGGTGTCAGGGACCTCCTCAACAGGGTCCACTAATACTAGGCATGGCTGGGTCTCTCTCCTGGCCGGACACCAAGTGGGGCATCCCAACCGCACTGTATCAGCTGGCAGAGATGGTGCAGGCAGACCAGGACAGGAGCAGGTCTGAAGACACTAATAAATCACATAAGCCAGGGCCAAACTCCCAGCGTGCCTCCTCCTCCTCCACTGCTACGCTGCATCTGAGCCGTGATGCCACTCCGGGATTCTGGGGACCAGCCACTGCACTGTGAGTCCCTGAGAGCCCGGGGTGCATCTATTTGGCTCCTCCTGCCTCAGCGCTCCTCATAGGTGCGTGCTCAGTAGGCATTTGCTAAGTGGTGACATGAATGTTGAGCCCGTGGGCATGTGGACAAACAAACACGTGTGTTTGTTGTTCTAGTTGCCCCGCTCACCCCCAGAGGCAGTGAGCTTGGAGCCTCATCCAGGCTTGCACAGGGATCACACATCCTCACTGGTCCTCACTACATGCTTCTCTTCACCTTCACCTAGGAGAGCAACTGAGATGTTTATCTACCTGTTCACTAGGCAACTTTTCTTACAACCTCCTCCTCAACCCAGCTGCCTGACTAGTGTTGCCCTGACTAACTGTCCCAGTCATGTCTTGCTCTATGTGAAGCCACCCGAAACGTAGAGGCTTCAAATAACCATATATTTGTCTGATTCTATGGGTCAGGAACTTGGGGAGGGTGTGCCAGGATGGTATGTATCAGATCTACGAGCCGTCAGCTGGGGGCCTCAGTTTCCTTGGCTCGCTCTGTCTCCATGTGGCAGCTCATGACCCAGAACGTCCACAAGACTTGGGCCTTTCACAGTACGGACATCTCCAGGTGTCCCACTTCTTACAGGACAGCGCTTCCAAGAGGCAAGAAGCCCCAGCTGCTCAGTGAAGGGCAGCACCAGGAACTGAGTGATGTCCCCACATTCTGTTGGCCCAAGCAATCACAGTCCCCATCTCTATCCCAGATTCGAGGAATCAGGGACTCCACTCCACCATGGGGAAGGGCGAGTTCACTATGCCATTGTGGTCACCTTAGAAAAACCCAACCTCCTTATTGAAGCACACTGTAATTTCCTTCTCAGACTGATGCTGGGCTTAGAAGGCTGTGGTGGGGGCTGGCCCCGTGGCCGAGTGGTTAAGTTCGCACGCTCCGCTGCAGGCGGCCCAGTGTTTCGTTGGTTCGAATCCTGGGCGCGGACATGGCACTGCTCATCAAACCACGCTGAGGCAACGTCCCACATGCCACAACTAGAAGGACCCACAACAAAGAATATACAACTATGCACCGGGGGGCTTTGGGGAGAAACAGGAAAAAAATAAAATCTTTAAAAAAAAAAAAAAAGGAAGGCCGTGGGGAAAGGTTTAACTTTCTCTGCCCAGGCTGGACATCGTCACCGGCCCCTCCTACACCTGTCGGGGCAACACCCACGGAGGCCTTCCTCCTCTCCCTCTGCCATAGTTCACACATCCCTTCTCCCACATAAAAATAGCAACAAGAAAAATAGAACCTCGTCATATTAACAACATTCCAGTTAGAGGATCATGGTGGCTCCCTGATGACAACCCAACAGTCACGATCTCAGGCACGTCATTCCGGAGTTTTCACCTGTGCTGGACCACAAAGAGCTGCCCCGTAAAGCGATCCTCCCTCACGGGAGACGAGCAACCGGCTAATGGGCCTTAACAAGCCCTGGATGGGAGAAGCCCGACATGAGAAATGCACTTAGACAGCCGCTCGGATGGCCCCGGGACGCAGCTTGACCAAGGTAATTGATGTCAAATGGAATCCAAAGAAACAGTCTCTGGGGTCTTGTCCACTTTTGAAATGCTACAGGGAGGCTGCCAGGGCCAAAGATCTGGGAGAAATAAATTAGGTGGAACCTCCCCGCTCCCCAACCATACTGCCACCATTATGGGCTGTGCCTTCACCCCTACAGGCCAGGCTAAATGGGACACTCATTCACCCACAACAAACATTTCTGTGCACAAAGAGATAAGGCCCTGGGTGACAAAATTCTGCCGTAAGCATTGAGGTGCTGTATGAACCTGTAAGGGCGTATGGAGCAAACACCCTGAGTTCCTGAAAGGAAGGGAGCCTTGGCCGTAATTGCCCGCCAGAGCCTGGTCCCTAAGGGCTGCCAAGACCTGGATGTCTGTGATGCATGCACAGAGGAGGCAGAATGACATCCCCACAAAGCCCAAGAGGCGCACAGAAACTGATAACTGAGTCGAGAGGGGACAGAACAGACAGACCGTGGTGTGAGCATTTTTGCAGCTTCCACCAATTTCTTGCTTTGTATATTGTGGTTATCTCTACGATCTTTTCAAATCAAAAATATTTTGTTTTGAAATTTTTCACATTAAAAAAGAATGTCCTTACCTTCTCAGGAACCATAGCATTCATACCACGGCTTTGGTTTAATTGTAAGCTATTTGAGATGACAGAAAAAAGGAAGATTTCAAAAGAAAAGTCTGCAAGAAGTGTCAGGGAAATGTCAGAGGAGAGCAAAAAAGAGCTGCAGGGCTCCCTTGGGTCCTGGAGGAAGAAAACAGGCACACTCTCCAGTCCAGTCAGTGTCAGTCCGCCTGAATCGGAGCCCGGAGGCAGGAACGGCCAGGCGCTGTGGCGCGAATGTCTTGTCACCCCATGCTGACCTCAACATTTCCACCTGTAGTAGCTTAAACAGCATTCTCCAGAAACTCATGTCCACCCAGAACCTCAGAATGTAAGCTTATTTGGAAACAGAGTCTTTGAAGACATGGATCAAGAGATGAGATCAAAGAGTGGGCCCTAAATCCAGTGATTGGTCTCCTTATAAAAAGAGGAAAAGATACACACAGAGAAGGCCAAGTGAAGACAGAGGCAGAGACTGGAGTGATGCAGCCATAAGCCAACAAACGCCTGAAGCCACCGGAAGCCAGAGGAGGCAGGAAGGATACACCACTACAGGCTTCAGAGGGAGCACGGGTCCGTCAATGCCTTGATCTTGGACGTCCCTCCTCCAGAACTGTGAGATAACGCACGTCTGTGGTTTTAGGCCATCCAGTCTGTGGGAATTTGTTCCAGCATCACTAGGAACTGAATACAAAGCCCAAACCCTGACATGTCAAATCAGCCAAGAAAGCGAGCTCCAGAAATGGAACACACACACGGAAAGACAGCGAAGACGGGCTGAGCCACACCGTCGGGTCCGGAACCTACCGTGTTTTCCCTGATCTCTGGAGATGGAAGGTTCATAATTCTCCAGGCAGAACAGAAGTAATTAGATCTGTGCCTGGGCTCCACCAAGAAGACATCGCAACGGTGCCCTGAATTATCGGGAAGACAACAGGACAATACCAGTTCACCTTTGTAGTTTTCCATACGAAAGGCACCATCCCCCATGTCTCATAGGGAATGAAAAAGAGAGCTTTTCTCTTTCCAGTCTCACAACTGCCAGATGAGGCAGGAGCTATTAGGACCCCAGTGTATGGCAAGGCAATGAAAGCTCCAGGGAGGGGGTCTTCTCATACTGTCCAGGCTACCGTCCTCAAATCAGAGGTTGTTGTGAAGGAAGAGGGACTGAATTCCCAATGGCCACCAAGAGACAAGAGAACCCAGGTGGAGGCCCCTCTGTGGCTCCAGGAGAGGGAAGGAGGGAGAGAGGGAGGGACGGAAGGAACAGGGGACAAGGGATTCAGGAGTTTGGCCTCATCCACCAGAGGGGATGTCTTGCATAACTTGGGACACAATCTAAGTGGAAACCAGGTCTATGGCACTTGGCGGTCTCCACTGCTCGGCAAATAAAGGGCGCTAAACTTTGCATACCACCCTCCTTCAGAGGGAGATAACGAGATGACCAGAAAGGCCAGTGCGAGGAAGTATACCACAAGAAATGGAAACAAGCCCGCGAGTGAGATCTGTTCTCTCCCACGGCCTCTGGGTTTACTTACACTCATCCCAGCGCATGTTTAAAAGAAAAAACACAGCGTGGAGGCTTGTTTTCCTTCCCTTCTGGCTACAGCTGGCCCTCTGGGGGTTCCAGGCTGTCTGCATGAGGCCAGAGCACAGGCCTAGGAAGGATCTCTGTGGAAGGCAATTGCCCCCTTCTCATCCACAGATAGCATGGAGCCCCATGAGAGAAAAGGGGTCTAGGGTCCTTCTGGAGTCCTTCACTCCTAGGAGGAAGCAGGACAAGCAGAATAGCTCCATCGAGAGGGAGGTAAAGGCTCCAGACTGTGTGACCCTGGGCACTGCAACCACGGCAGTTTCTGCTGGGTTCCTGGGTCAACTCACCCTGCTTAGGTGGCGCTGGGACATGACAGGTTTTCAGACATTCCCCAGGGGCAGTGCAAGGGGCACAAGACGGATAGGACCTGGGGTAGGAACAGGGCTCACCCAGGGGGCAGGGCCAGGGCTCACCCAGGGGCAGGACCAGGTCCCCAAGGTGGGTGGAGGGCATGCAAAGCCCAGATCAGTCTGGAAAGATCACCATCAGTCTGCAGAGGACACAGACGCTTCCCTGACTCCATCTAGTCATCTACGGCCTCCTTTTTTTCCTGAAACCCTACAGCACACAGAGATCTAGAATTCTAAGGATTTATCCCAGAAGGACACAGTCCCATCCCTCATTTCACAGCTGAAGGCCAGAAGGAGACGCAGGTGGCTGAATGTCACCTTTCCAGCAGTGACAGTCAGAAGCAAGGCAGACCTCCTGCCATTGGTCCGCCAACCATGCCTACGTGCAGCTCACACTCACACACAGGATGAGGTGTTCTACGGGACCCGTGCGCATCAACCCTGTCAGCTCCTTAAACACAAGGTCCAGGTGGCTCATGGCCCAGGAAGGAGGCCCAGCTGTTCATGTCTGTTCTGAGTTTACAGAGGTTGCCGGGGGGAGCTGACCGAGGAGAACGCCCTGGAGGACACACAGCACAGTGCACAGTGGCTACACACACCTGCCCTGGGCTCAGGGAGGAGATAGGTTTGCATCTGCCAGGCTCTGTGCACCTCTGGTCAAGTCACTCAACCTCCCTGAGCCTCAGCTCCCTCAGCAGGACCTATCTGGGCTGGTGTTGCCAGGATGGATGAGATACTGTGGGCAAAAGCTTCGCTAAAGGCCTGGACTGTACTGGTGTTCAACAATCACAGCCAAGAAATATCATCAATTACCTTTCAAGTTACTGCACTGGAAAAATCCAAGTTGCCGTCTGGAATTTCCACCAGAGAAGGTAAGCAGAGAACCCCAGAGAAGGGACAGGACAGGGACCCAGGGCTACTGACTCATCCCAGGTCCCACCTTCCACACCCATCCTTCCACTCTCATGACCCAGTTGAGACCAAGTCAAACCATGCTTGGTGTCATCCTGGGCTCCACCCCAGCACGAGGGGCCGGCCACTGCACGGCCCAGAGGAAGAAGGCTGCCCAAACGCAAAATCAAAGGCAGCTCCATTTTTTTTCTGACCCTGAAAAGTTTGGGAATGCATCCTAGTGAGTAAATACTTGCCCAGAACATGCAAAAGGAGAAAGCCGGTCTCACCCCCTGACCTTCCAGCCTTTCCAGACTTTAACATCATGGGTCTCCTGGAGACCCTGCTTGGAGCAAGCAACTTGCTCTAAGTCTGGAGTCTTAAGCCCTTTTCTCATCCATCCTTCAAAGAGAGTAACTTGGATGAAGCAAAGTGGGCACGTGACCGTGGTGAACCTAGAAAGTCCCACAGTGCACCTGGTGCAGGGAGTGAAAACAGCAGCTACTGCGTCTCCAAATGCAGGACAGTAAGTGCGTCATGGACATTAATTCATGAGGGTCCCCACAACACCCTGATGAGCTAGGTTTAATTATCCCCCTCTAGAGATCAGGCTCAGACAGTTTCAGTAACCTGCCCCAGGCCTCACTGCTAGCAGGGCGGGGAGCCAAGACTCGAGTCTACATTCTGATCTAGCTCCACGCAGAGCAACCTGGGTGTCCCCCCGTGTATGTTCAGACCCCACTGACGTGTGAAACTAAGATTTCCATGCACCCAGCGTCCATGAGCTAACAGAAATCTCTGGAAGCTTTGAATGCCTGAATGGCAATAATTTATCTGTAAAATAATTGTTTCTGGTGCGTCTGGCTGCCAAAATGCCTGTCAGTCTAACCTGTCACACCAAATCAAGAGTGTCAGCATCATTAGACGGAGGAAACTTCGAGCAGCCACTTCCAATGATCTCATTAGCAATCCTTTGCTGCTCATCACCACCCTGAGATGAATATTTGGGGCATGATTGAAAGGTATCATTTCTTCCGAAAAGTTGCTCTCGTGTTAGCTAATTCAGCCCGTAAAATAAGATTATGTATATTACATTAAAAACGGCTAAGAACCTTATGGAAATAAGAAGTAACCCTTTGCTTTCTAAAAGAGTTTTCTTCACAGAGATGGACGCTGCATCTATGCGTGGATGGAGCATGAGATGGCATGCAGCTGAGAAACCAGAGGGCTCACAATTTCATCACTGTGTTCAATCCAGATTGCCCCGAACCCCCCCAAATCCTGGCAACGTGACACAATGGTACACCCCCTCAGAACCTAAAATTGAAAGAAGAACCTAAAATTGACCCCTGAGCGTTGAACTGCAGTGTCAGCCCAAGGGGGGAGCAGAGCAAAGCCACCCTGGCTTCCTTACCCACTGTTGTAGGGTTGAGCCGGTCTGCTGGATCCCATCTTGGTGACGTCTTTAGCCAACTTGGCTCATTTATGCTTGAGGATGCTGAGGCTCAGAGAGGACAAATATGTGGGAGGATTAGGATGCAGGGCTGTCTGACTCCAAACTCCACTTGCCCATTGAGACCAGGCAAAGGGTTGAGGCCATCGACAATCTTTACAGAAGGGCTGACATGCTCATGCTGCGTTTTAAGAAGATTCCTCTGAGAGCAGAGGAGGCTGGGAGGCCAATAAAGGCTGGTGCCACCATCCAGAAATGGGTACAGAGGGTCCTTTGTGGTCGTGGCTGGGGGGAGGATAAGGAGCGATGTACATGGAGGCGCTGAAGGTAGACTCGCCAGCATGTGGCTCTGCCGGGACGAGGGAGGGATGAAGAGGCAGGAGTCGGGGTGACACAGAATGGGAAAATGGGGGAATAATGTGACAGCTGTGGTCAGCCTAACAGTGATTTGAGGTCAATTCAGTGCAGGCTGAGCATCTGACATTTGAGACTCAGTCTACTGATTCCATTAGCAACCCCTTCCTCCCGGACGTCTAAATGCAAACCTGTGTTCACGTCAATCATTAGGAAGCGTGTGGCTTCAGCTCTCCACCAGGGAAGACCTCCTTGGATTAAGATATGACGGGATGCTTCTAACTTTCAAGAGAACCGACGCTGCACCCTCAGCGGGTCCCCAGGGGGCTGACTTCCCTGCAGGTACAAGGAAGGGTCAATACAGGAAACAGGGGCTGGGGAGGTCCCCACAACTTTGCCAAACTGCAGCTGAAGACCTTGGTCATCATACTAACCTATGGCTCTTATGTTTTATTTAAAAAAATAATTAATTTAGGGCTCCAAACATATTTCCCTCTTGCCTTCACTGCCAGGAAGTTCAGAGTTAAGGAAACTGTGACTTCAGTCTTCAATGCCTTCCCAGGGCCAGGAAATAGTTAATTCTCTAGCCCTTTCGTTAGACATCTTCCCTTTCTGTTAACTGTCCTGTTGCCTATGCAACTACCTTTGTCAGTTGCCTCCAAGCTTCTCTGAAAGCAGGCAAAGGGCGCGTCACTAAAAAGATTAAATGCTCTATCTTGTGCAGCTGCGTCTGGGCATCAAGAGCACTGAGCAGAGTACCAGACTCACAGGAATGCCCACTGCCTACTGGCCCCACTGCACACAGAGCGAGGGCACGGTCCTTGTCGGGGTTACAGCGTGCCCCTCAAAAAGGCGTGTGGAGCTCCTAACCCCTGCTACTGTGAACATGACCTGCTGTGGAAATAGGGTCTTTGAAGATGGAACTAAGATGTCCATGAGGATGAAGTCACACCTGAGGAGGGTGGGCTCTTGATCCAATGTGACTAGTGTCCTTATAAGAAGAGGAGAAGAGATGCAGAGACGGACACGCAAACGGAGGAGAATGCTGAGTGACAACGCAGACCACAGAGGGAAGACGGCCCTGAGATGACGACGCAGAGATCAGAGCAATGCAGCTGTAGCCAAGGAACCCCCAGGAGTGCCAGCTGCCACGAGGAGCTGGAGACAGTGCGGAGCTGCTGAGGCCTTGATTTGGGGCCTCTTGTCTCCAAAACTGTAAGAGAATAAATTTCTGTTGTTTTAATCTGCCCAGTTTGTGGTCCTTTGTTACAGCAGCCCCAGGACACTGACATGCTCCTTTATACCCGAGCGGACACCTCCGTGACCTCACTGGCCTGCTCGCTGCTCTTCACACCCCAGCAAGGGTCTTGGGGCCTCCCAGCTGCCTTGGCAGCTCGGCCTCCCCGCGTCTGCCGGGTCTGCTCCTTATCTTTCAGGTCTCTGCTCAGATGTCACCTCATACGGGAAGCCCTCCCTGACCACCCTCTCTATATACAAAAACCTACCCACCCCTGGTCCTCAGTATTCTCCAATACCTACCCGCAATGGGCTGAACTGTGTCTCCCCACAGAAAGAGACGCTGGAGTCTTAACCCCATTTACCTCAGAATGAGACCTTATCTGGAGGTAGGGTCTGTACAGAGGAAATCGAGTTAAAATGAGGTCTTTAGGGTGAGCTCTGATCCAGCATGACAGGTGTCCTTAAAAAAAGGGAAATTTGGACACAGAGACTCTGAAAGAGGGAAGATGATGTGAGGACACTGGGACAAGACAGCCATCTACAAGCCAAGGAGCGAGGCCCGGAACAGACACTGCCTCACAGCCTCAGAAGGAACCAACCCTGCCGACACCTGGATCTCAGACTTCTGCCCCCAGAACCATGAGACAATCGGTTTCCGTTGTGGAATCCCTAGGTCTGCGGTATTTGGTTAAGGCGGGCCTAGCAAACTAACACACTATCTGACTTCGTACGTGCTTATTAATTTTTCCTGTGCCCCCTACTAGAATCTAAGCCCCAAGTGGGCAGGGACATTTTATATTTTATTCACCACTCATGAGCCTGGAACAGTGTCTGGGACGAAGCAGTTTGCTCAGTCAATATTTGTGGAATAAATGAATGAATTTGTTAATTGCTCACTCCGTGATCGGCAGCACACATGCACTATGTACAAGGATGAGGGGTCTTTTCCTCCTGACACCAAATACACGGTGTCTCTTTCAACACTGCTTCTCCAACTCTCCAACACCAACTGGGAATCCAACAGCCCAATTCACTTCTGACGCCATCTACCTGGAGTTAGCGTCAGATCCGAAAAGGTTAAAGGGCTTGGTCCCTCGAGACTGCCCCCGCTTCAGACATTAGTCACAAGTCCAGGACCACCCAATCTTCTGACCAAGCTGTAAATCAGAGGCTCCCAAGACCCCCGCCTCAGGTTTGAGAATCCTCTAGAAGGACTCACAGAACCCAGGAAGGCACTTTACTGACTATTTATTACAGAGGGTGCAACTCAGAAACAACCAAATGGAAGAGACGTTTGCGGGGGAAGGACATGGAGCTTCGACGCCCTCTCTGGGTGTGTCCTCCAGCACCTCGATGTGTTCAGCAACGTGGAAGCTCCCTGAATCCCATTGCTTAGGAGTTTTCATGACAGTTCTATTTCGTAGGCATGAGTGATTAAATCACTGGCTATTGGTGATGACTTTGACCTCCAGCCCCTTTTCCCATGCCAGAGGTCGGGGAGTGGGACAGAAACTTCTGGAAGATTGATCTTCTAATCAAGGTGTGGTCTTTCTGGCGACCAGCCTCCATCCTGAAGCTTTCTAGGGAAGGACCCCCCAAGAGTCACCTCTTTAGAACAGAAGATGGTCCTATCACTCGGGAGATTCTAAGGGTTCCAAGGAGCCCTGTGCCAGAAACTGGGGACAAAGACCAAATACCTTTCCTGTTATGCCACAAATCCTTACCCCAACCCCAAAGGCCAGGCACGATCACCCTTTGTGGGAGGCTCCGAGATGCTCCACGGCACATCTCAGCACACGGTCAGGTCGGGACCCAAAGCGAGGTCTGATCCTTTCCCTACACTGCACCGCGCCCACCGCCAATCAATCAGAAGCTGGTACTTGAGCAGATGGAGAAGACTGACAGGGATGAGGTGCAAGGAGAGAGTCCTCTGTTACCTGCAGTGGGCTAGGAGACAGGTGCCATTTGCGGACAGTCATTCTCCAAGGTCAGGTGTTCAGAACCCTTAGGTAGGATAAGGGTTGACTGCATAGGCTTGACTATTGCTTTTTTTTTTTTGGAGTTTTCATTTCTGAAATGCTGAATTTACCAACTGCCTTAGGTTACATTATACTAATGGAGACTTGAAACATAGTGGTGGAAGCAACACCAATTCTAACGTATATTTGTATAAATTAAGGGAGATCTTGAAAATAAGGAGGAAATAACACAGCCTGCTGGCCCTGCCAGAGCAGCGGGTTGACTTCATTGTTTCTTAGGAAACAGAAGCTACTGCTTCTCCTCCCTCCTCTGCCCTTTGTCTTCCCAGTTCAGGACCTGCCTGGGCCACATCCCTCCTGCCCTGTGGATGGCCGATGCACTGGTTGGAGGACCCAGTGCTCATCCCATGCCCAGCATCGTCCTGCGGCTGTTTTTCCTCCGGTTCTGATTGGGCTCTGCCAGTTCGAAGGTAATGAGCGTTTTCCTCCAAGAGCATCTGACCCATTGGAATCACATTAGGAATGAGCCTGCAAACTGTATGTCTGAGATACCTCTTCCTCCCAAATTGCTCTCGTACACTCTAAATCGTAGATCCCGGCTGTATCAAGCATTGCCCTGTGGAATCCTGGAGATGTGGGGATTTGCCTGGGTCCTTGGTGTCTACACAGGTTGAGAGCAAAACTGTATTAGTTAGTGTCCTCAAGAGAAACACAATCTACTGTCTACATAGAGACATACAACCAATAGGAGATATACATACATACGCACACATATACATATATACATACATACATGTGTTATTAGAGGAATTGGCTCATGTAATTAAGGAGGCTGAGAAGTCCCACGATCTGTCATCTGCAAACTAGAGAATCAAGAAAGCCAGTGGGGGTGTAATTCAATCCGAGTCTGCAGGCCTGAGAACCAGGGCAGCTGATGGTGTAGCTCCCATCCAAAGTCCAAAGGCCCAAGAACCTGGAGCCCCAGTGTCGAGGGCAGGAGAAGATAGATGTCCCAACTGAAGCGGAGAACAAATTCAACCTTCCTCTGCCTTTTTGTTCTGGTAGGACCTCTATGAACTGGATGATGCCCACCTGTGTTGGCGAAGGCCATTTTCTTTACTCCGTCTGCTGATTCAAATGCTAACCTCTTCCCGAGACACACCCAGAAATAATGTTTGCCAGCTCTCTGGGCATCCCCTAGCCCAGTCATAGCCACACAAATTAGCTACCACAAAAACACAGCCCTAAACTTGCTGTCTCAAGGGGCCCGCAGTCCTGGCTCAGGCTCCTCCAGGGTCAGGGATCTGAAGTGCTGACAAGTTTCTCCTCAGAGACCTCGCGATGGAAGCGCATCTCCTCCTGCCTCAGCATCACCTCTGGGTGAGTGAGCAGGAGACCCCACTTGGAGAGTCAGGCACCCCTTTGTTCTCTTGGTTACAGGTAACAGACACTCAGGCTTTGACAAGGAGAGACATTACATGGTACATAATAGTAAGCTGTTGTGATTATGATGATTGTTGTCTTGTTTATTTCTGTGCTAGTAAAATGGATCTTAAAAGGTTGTATGGGTAACTGCAAATTAGGCTTTCCCATTAAAAATTCACAAGGTCCCTGCACCCGTATAATCAGAAAAGAGGTAGGGCCCGCTGCCAAATCCTCTCCCTCTCTCTTTTTCCCTCTCTCTCTCTCTCCCCTTGCGTCCCTGTCTCTCTCTCTCTCTCTCCTCCTCTCTTTCCCTCTGCCTAGTTCTCTCTCTCTCTCTCTGTGTCTCTGTCTCTCCCTCTCTCGCTCCCTCTCCCTCTCAGTTACAGAGGCTCTAACTTCTGCTTGAACCACGTCTTCTGACAGCCAAGAGAGTTTGATTAAACGAGCATCCTTTGCTGGCTCAGGCCAACCGGCCAAATCCAAATGACTTCAGTTTGGGGAAGGTCTCGGAATAGCAACTCAAGCAAACACAAACAGGGAGAAACACAAATCCAGGAGGCTTCAGGATTGGAACCTGTCACCAGCGCTCTCATACACAACTCCTTCCTCCTGCAGGAGGGGAGAGGCACAGGTGCTGGAGCCCCAGGAATGAGGATGCTGCCTTGCCAGGGGACCTGGCAGGCCAGGGGTGCTTTAAGAGTGGGACAGGTACGAATTTAAGAACGCCAAGGCCCTCTGAAGGGTACAAGGTAGGGTTCAAGACCTCCGGAGTGTGGTCATAGGCCTGGGAGCTAAAGTCAGGGAGCCTCTGGGACAGGAAGGCCCGGGAAAACCCACAGACAACAGAGAACACCCGGCTTGAGTTCTCCTTCCTCCAATCGGTAAAATGAAAGTTGAAATGCACAAGGCAGGCCATATGCTTATCTGGATAAAGCATTTTGTCGATAATACTAAAACATTTGCTGCCTTTGTTTGTCAGGATGCCTTGCATTATTATATTTCAGGAAGCAATTTCTAAGACCCTGTGGGAACTGGAAAAGAATGTTTTTACTTCCAAGAAGTCAGGCACTTCCTACCCCTGAAATAGGAGATGAATATCACCTGTGTTGGGTTGACAGATTTGCTGGTTTGTAATGTACAAAAAGTCCAGCCTTGCAATCCCCAGCTACACGTGTTACCTCTGTGGCGTAAGTGCAACTTAACTGCCTCTAAGAAATAAGGTATGGGAATCATGTGAGGTTCTTAGGTGAGGAAGCTGGGAGTCCAGAAACGTATCCCACTGAGCTTCAGAGCTCATCAGGTCTGCTTACATAAGGACAGTAGGTGTAAAACTAGCCTCCTTTAGTTAGGTAACCTGGAAAAAATTAATTGTAGTTTTATTTTTTATGTTATCTGCACACCTCAAAATTTCAATTTGCTTTTCTAGAGACCACATTATCTTTTATAATTTTGTTGTTGTTGTTGTTCGTCAAGTCATTATTTATGAGTCACTGTGCATCCTTCATTCAAACACTGTTTTGACTGATAGCTCTGAGGCAGGTGTGTGCTGGTGATGAGGTTACAAACCTAAAGAGACCAATCCAGGAAACGGAAATTCAGGAAGTGATCAGCTCCTTGTTTATGCTCAGCATAAAGGAAAGAAAAGGCCTAATTCGAATTTGTCTCCTAAGAAGGTGCATCAGCTATAAACGGTCCCTAACCACATAATTGCTCACTTTTGAAAGCCAGTAAGAAAGTCAATTTTGTCACACGCCACTCCCCTGAGGATCAACTAAAGTGGCCATGGACATTCTCATGCTGAAATGGGAGACTGAGACCACTGTCTAGCAAGTCAATTCAATTCAGTCAATATTTATTCGGACCTACTTTGTGGCAGGCATTGTTTCTGGGTGCTAAAACTTCAGTGTGAACAAAATAGACAAAAATCTTTGCCCGTCTAGAATTACACTCTGCTCAGGGAGATGAACAATGAACAAGCTAAGTGGGTGAGATATATGGTATTTTTAGACAGTGCCAATTCTAAGGAGAAAAATAAAACAGGGAAGGGGGATAGCAATGTAGGCGGTAAGTAATGAAAATTTCAGAAAGCTTGACTGTGGGGGGAAAAAAACATAAAGAGGGCAAGAGGGAAGAAACAAAGAACAGATGGGACAAATAGAAAATAAATAGCAAAATGATAGATTTAAACCCATTCATATCAATAATTCTATTAAATATAAATGGTCTAAATACTCCAATTGAAGGCAGAGACCATCAGATTAGATACAATAAGCAAAACCAAGCTATATGCTGTCCATAAGAAATGCTCTTTAAATATAGAGACACAAATAGGTGAAATGTAAAAAGATGGAAAAAGTATGCCAGGCAAATACTAACTATAAAACAGCTGAAATGATTATTTTAATGTTAGACACAGTAGATGTCAGGACCAAGGATATTACCAGAGATAAAGAGAGAAATTTTATAATGATAAAAGGACCAATTACTTAAGAAGCCATAATAATATTAAATGTGACCATGCCCAATTACAAATCTTAAAAATGCATGAAGCAAAAATAAGAGAACTGAAGGAAGAAATAGATAAAGCTGCAATTATAGTTGTACATTTCAAACATACTGGCACAAGAATAAATAGAAAACATATTTATATATACACATCACTAAGACCAGATGTCTTCACTAGTAAATTACATCAAATAGAAACAAAATACCAATCTGTTTCAGAACTATAGTAGAAAGAAACACTTCCCTACTCATTTTATGACAAAGATAAGACGAGAAAAGGATCCCCCGATATCCCTCATAAAGTTGGATCCAAAAATCTTTCACAAAATAACACCAGATAGAAACCGGGAAAATATAAAAATAATAACACATGACCAATTTGTTCCAGGAGATTATTCCAGGAATTCAAGGTTGCTTTCCCCTTCACATTGATAACAAGGCAAAGGGGTTCACCCTCACTGTTTCTATTCAACATTGTAATGGAGACCCCAGGAGATCCCTTGGGGAGCTCTGAAGCTGGGATGGCCCTTCACAGATGTCCACAATTAACATGGGGGCCGGACTTTTCTATCCTCACATCCATCAGTCATTGCATCTGGGCTGCCACCAGGCTAAGGGTACATTGTCTGGCCAGGCAGCTCCCTTCAGCTGAGTGCAGTGCCTGGGGAGGGGTCTCAGCTGAGAGCCATCAGCAGCCAACGTCCTGACAGGTGGGGAACCAGTGTTTGGTCGTGGAGGGAGGATCTGTGTGGCACCCACAGCATCAGCACAAGAAGGACTAAACCGTCCGAAAGTACTAAGTACATGACTGAAGATGAACACGTGCTTGCCCGAGGGCCTAGCATTTCCTCTCCGTGTGCACCAAAAGACATGTTCCAGAATGTTCACAGCAGCCTTATTCGTCATCGTCCAAAATTACCTGGATATTTTTAACAGTCAAATGGATTCACGAATGTAGTACATGCATATAATGAAATACAAAATAGCAATGGAAAATAAACAATTACTGCTACATGTATATTATAAATGAATCTCACAAATGTAAGGTTGAGTGAAAGAAATAAAAGAGTGTATACTGTAAAATTTCATTTGTATAAAGTTCAGAACAAGACAAAATTACTTAGAAGTCTGTACATACTTACCTGTTGACTGTGGCAGAGCCTGGAACGGTCATGAAGCGGAGGCTAGTTCTAATTCTTGATCTGGGTGATTATTATATGAGTGTTTTCACTTTGCAAAAATTCATTTTACGTGATCTGTTCTACACTTATGATCTGTTCATTTTTAAGTGTGTATTATATAATTCAATTTTAAAATTTTCACTAAAAAAAGATAAGTCTCAGACTGGGAGAAGATATTTGCAAACATAACTGAAAAAAAGGATTCATATCTGTAATAGATAAAGAACTCTTGAGAACAAAATTCAATAGGAAAATAAAAGGCAAAAGATATGAACAGACCATTCACAAAAGAGGAAAATACAAGGCCAAGAAACATATAAAAAGATGCCCAATATAAATACTAACTAGGGAAATACAAATTAAAACACTGTGAAATATTTCATAACCAACAAATTGGAAAATATTTAGAAGTCTAACAATTTACCAATGCAACTGTAGAGCAAAGCGACCACTTACACACGAGCATTTGAAGGGAAATTTGGTACAACCACTGGAAAGAAAATACTTGCTCTTCGATCCAGCAGTTCTGCTTCTAGGAAAACAATAGAAAAGCTCTTGCAGACATTCCACAGGGAAAATGGTACAAGAGAGTTACTGCATTATTTGTTTATGATAGAAAAAATACATACAATATGACATCAATAAAAAACTTTGAAAACATGGATTCACGCATGGAATGTTCACAGAATTTTTAAATGCCCTTAAAGGAAAACATCAAACTGGAGATGGTGGTTCACTCTGGATGGGGGACAGGTAAGAGAAAGGGATCGTGGAAGGGTAGATGGGGAGCTTTGCCAGCATTTGTGATGTTTTGTTTCTGAAATAGAATGCAAGTGTGACAAAATGTTAGAACTCAATAGAGCTGAGTGGTAAATGTGTTAAGATTGTAATGAACTTTTCTGCATATTTGAAATGTTTCATATTTTAAGAAGATATTCAAAGGTACGCCTCTTAATCTAATGACTCTTTCTTTCTCTCTCAAGTGGAACCAGCCCCACCATTGCCATGGTGCGTGCACGTACTCTACACCCACTGCCACATCTCACACCTCGGCCTCACCTTGCCCGGGCCTCTGTAAGTGAAGAGAAAAGGATGAAATGATAACAGTTCTTCAGGCTTCTGCCCTACAGAAGATAATATGAAATGTCTTCCCATCTCTTTTTGAAATGGGCTACCTCCCGCTGACCACTAGGTGGGACACCAGCTTGCCATTTGCTGAATAAATACAACGCGTATAGAATTGTTGAAACTGCCTGTTTTTGCAGAGAGAACCATGCTCCGACAGCTGTGAGCAGAACAGCTTAGCGGTGTGCGTCCCAAGTCTGGAAGCAGCATCTCTTTGAACTCCTGCTGATGACATTTATTTAGGAGTGCAGCGAGTAATGTTTCTAATTTAGACAAATCTAAACATATATTCAATTCACTGGAATTTCCTTTAGTCCATAATTGTTTTTTTCTGGCTAACTATGGTTGGGAGAAAGAAGAAAAAAATGGAAAGTAGCATTTATTTGGTGCCTGTAATGTGCCAAGAAGCAAATTACAGCTTTATCTCACATAAGCCTCATGCCCATCCTTCAAGAAGGGACATCAGGGGCTGGCCCGGTGGCTTAGTGGCTATGTTTGCATTCTCTGTGTCAGCAGCCTGGGGTTCACAGGTTCGGATCCCGGGCGTGGACCTACACACCGCTCATCAGGCCATGCTGTGGTGGTGTCCCATATACAAAGTAGAGGAAAACTGGCATGGATGTTAGCTCAGGGACAATCTTCCTCACCAAAAAAAAAAGGGGGGGGGGACATCATTTCACAATTGCAAAGGCTCAGAGATGTTAGGTGCCTCACCCAACATCCCACAAGTGAGCAGAAGACATAAGGTTTGAACCCACCTCTCTGTGACAACAAAGCTTCCTTCCTTTCTACCATGCTCCCTCTCCAGAAAGCCTTGGGAGTGAAACTCTAAGAGAGAGAAGGCAAAAGATATATTTAGTATAATTTAAACACTTTTAGGCACAGCTAAAATAAGAACAGATAATGAGCAAACAGATAAAAGGTCATTCGCTTCCTCCTTCTGCCTGAGCCAAGATCACAAAATAAAATAAAAACCATTTCAGCTTATTCTTTCCACAAAATGAGTTTTTAAAGAAGTAAAAGGTCTAGGGAGCTATTCTTAGATAACAAGAGTGGAAAGAGCACCCTGGTATAGTCTTTCAACTCCAGGTTTGTGAGCTGGGAACAGATTCTCACAAGCAGTGTGTGCATTTGTGTGTGTGTATGAGAGAGACAGACACAGAGAGAGAGGGAGGGAGGGGAAATTCATTTGCTGGGACTGCCATAGCAAAGCAGCAAAGACTGGGGGGCTTAACCAACAGAAATGCATTTTCTCCCAGTTCTGGAGGCCGGAAGGCTGAGATCAAGGTGTCAGCAGGGGTGGTTTCCTTCTGAGGCCTCTCTCCTTGGCTTATAGATGGCCGTCTTCTCCCTGTGTCCTCACACGGTCTCCCCTCTGTACCTCTCTGTGTCTGAACCTCTTCTTCCTATAAGGATGTCAGTCAAATATAAGGGCTCATCCATGTAACCTCATTCAACCTAATGACCCCTTTAAAGATTCTATCTCCAAATACAGTCGCATTCTGAGGTCCTGGGGGTTAGGACTTCAACACACGAATTTTGAAGGAACACAATTCAAACCATAACAGAGAAAATACAAGATGTGAAGGAACCAGATCAGGGTTTCTTTTTGGCGGGGAGGAGTAGGGGCTCCTATACAAACAGGCATAGATAATTACATGGCCCTGTCTAGCCACCAAACTGGGAGAGAACCATCCTCTCCAGAAAGGTCTCGACTGGCATCAGAGGTGAAGCATCAGTAAACTCTTTTTTTTAATAATCCTTCGAAAATAATTATAGCAAGGATTCTGGAGTGATTATGAAGCACAATATTTTAATCTCCCCAAATTCCCCCATAAAAACAGACCAATGTACCAAAATCAAAGACCTCGAACTTCTACAACAAAATATGTGACAAGCTATCCCAACAAAGCTCACAGGAGTGCGTGGGGCAAATCACAAATAGCTACAGAACCTGTGTGGTTAAGGATCTGTGTAGGAGGAAAGAGAGGGATCCCAACAAACCAGAGGACAGGAAAGAAAACAACATCGCTGACCCATGTTCGCTGACATAGGTCCAACTCGAGAATGGTCGGATCGAATCCATGGGCAGCACAAGAGGACCGTGATGCACTATTCTGACTATGATGGAGCAGTCTAGAAGCCCTCAAAATGAGCACACCAAAGCTACCTTCAACACAAACTCCACAATGAGGAGAACAGGAACAAAAAAGAGACAGCACAGAAAAAAAGAGGAGGAGGAGATCAGAATGTCAGATCTCAGAAAATATGATGTTTTTTATTACTTTGCTAAAACAGCAAAAGAGGGAGGGATAGAGCCAGGAAGCTAAAAAACCTATCTTGACCTAACCCTCACTCCCATAAATACAGAAAAACTCATTTCCCTTAAAAAGTAAGAAAAGCAATAGAAAAGGATCATGCCCAATTCTAATATAAAGTTATTATAGGGGCCGGCCCCATGGCATAGTGGTTAAGTTCAGCACACTCCACTTTAGCAGCCTGGGTTCCTGCGTTCAGATCCCAGGCATGGACCTGCATACCGCTTGTCAGGCCACTCTGTGGTGGCGACCCACATATAAAGTGGAGGAAGATTGGCACAGATGTTAGCTCAGGGCTAATCTTCCTCAGCAAAAATAAATAAAAAATAGTTATTATAAGAGAAAAGAGAATAAGAGCATAATACTCTCCTGACAGACAATGAAAGCATAACCAAAAGATATGCTATACAACGCAGATGAAAATGTAACCTAATATTTGAAGTGAGGTGAAAGGAATTATGAAAATGATAAATGTTATTAAAGTGTAACTTAAATCATAATTAGAAACATTCAGAAAGATAAGATTTGAAAGCACAGATGACAGAACTCAGAAAAAAATTAGAAGTACAAGGAAAAATTTTCAGAAATGAAAACTAAATTAGAAGGGACATCAGAACCAACCAACAAAATAATGCCTTTAAAGAAATAAAATGTAAAAGAGGGAATTTTACAAAATCAGAAAGAAATGAAGAGATTCTACCTCTGGTTAGGATGTAAAAGATCACAAAAGATCAACAGCACAGCATAGCAATGAGAAAGCACTGGATAAGCTTTTAAACTGTATTTTTCTTTTTTTTTTTTTTTTTTTAAAGATTGGCACCGGAGCTAACAACTGTTGCCAATCTTGGTTTTTTTTTTCTGCTTTATCTCCCCAAACCGCCCCCCCGCCCCAGCCCCGTACATAGTTGTATATCTTAGTTGCAGGTCCTTCTAGTTGTGGGATGTGGGATGCCACCTCAACGTGGCCTGACGAGCAGTGCCATGTCTGTGCCCAGGATCTGAACCCTGGGCTGCCGCAGCAGAGCACGCAAACTTAACCACTCGGCCACGGAGCCAGCCCCCTAAACTGTATTTTTCTGTAAAGCCATTGAAGAGTGGTAGATTCAAAGAAGTCTAAATAAACTAAAATTCAGAGAGAGATGAGCCCATCTTCGATGAGCACAAAGCAGTGGCCCCTTCCATTCCTGTGGCAAATAGTCAAGTATGGGAGCATGGACGGGCAGAAGAGCAGGTCTGCTACAGGCAGAGAAAATTGCTGAGGATTAACAGCCAATGTGTACACCTGAACCTGGAGGAGTCCCAAACACAGAACTGGACACTACTGTCTGCCAACTCTCTCACACAGAAACTTACTGCATAAATGTGGCTGGGAAGTCAGGAGATGACATAGGAAAGCAAAGAGAAAACTTGTGGTGTCATATGCTTAGATCTCACAGCCCTGCTGGAGGGAGGGGGCCCCCACGCTGAAGACATTTGAAACCAGAGGTGAATTAAACCATCCGGAGTGGCAACCTCAGTCCTAATTCAGCTCAACTCATGATTCAATTGCAGATCAGATGCTGGTCCAAGATACCTGACCCACAAAATGGCAAGCACTTCTGGGAAAACTATTATTTCTTTCATTCTCCGCTGCTCTGTTATATATAAACTGCAGCATTTAATTAAAAAAGAAAAAACTACAGGACGTGTAAATAAGCCAGAAAATATGACCCATAATTAAGAGAAAAAATAGTCAATAGAAACAGGCCCAAAGATGACCCAGAATTGGCATGAGTAAAGAAAGGCTTTAAATGTATTAATATATAGTTGTTAACACTTTTAGATGGAAAAATCAGGAAAATGGTGAAAATATAAAGAATTTCAGCAGAGAAATGAAAACCCCAAAAAAGAGCCAAATGGAAACTGTAGAATAAAAAATATGGTACCAAAGCAAAGAATTTAGGGAGTGGGCTTAAGGACAGACTGGACAAAAGAAAGGATCAGTGAGCTCGAAAATACATCAGTAGAAATTCTCTCAATTGAAGCAGGAGGAGAAAAATGTATGGGAAAAAAAGCAGAGGGTGAGAGCAATATGAAATAATATCAAACAGTCTAACATACTTGTAATTAGAGTCCCAGAGGAGAAGACAGAGAGAATGGGTCAGAATAACTATTTGGGGAGATATCAGCTGAAATTTTTTTCCAAAACTAATGAATGACATCGATACATGGACCCAAGAATTAGACCATGGTCTCTGTCCACTTCAACTTTCCCTGTGTCACACTTCCCCTCCTGACTGGCAGAACTGGAGTGGCTGCAGCAATTTTGAGGATCCAGCTAAGGGGGGTGGGGTGCATCCTCAGTCCCGACCAGAGACTACCAGATCAGAAACTGGGGTCTGGGGATGGGACCAGCACTCTGCGTTTAACAAGACCTCTGGGTAACTCCAATGCTTGCTAAAGTCGGAGAACCACTGTTCTAAATGATCTCTAAGTTTCCTTGCAGAGCTGAGCTAAGAAGGAGGGAAAGGGAAATGGGACAGAGAAGTAGGAGATGAAGCAGGCGAACAAAGGGAGAAACGCAGACCATGGGAACACACTTCTCTACAGACAAGCAGATGTCTACCATGATGGGGCCATTCTGCTTCAAGGAGAGCAGCCAAGGGGGGGGTCTCCTGGACAATCGAGAGTCCAGAGGCAGAAGTGACCAGGACAGGAAAGCCAAGTATGCGAGGATTAACTTACCAGTGAGACCTGGCCCCTCTCACCCTCCCCAGAGCCCTACCTCTCTCCGTGCTGCCTTCATTGCCCTTGACTCTTCCATCCCAGGATGAAGAGTGTAGGTCATGTGAATGAAAGTGACAGCACCCCTGAGTGGGAAGCATCCCAGGGGCCATTTCACCCACCAAGAGCATTTCTGAAGCAGAAGATAACACTCATTCCACCACCAACCAGAGGATCCTGTGGAAAGATAGAACCAAAAGCACACGCTCCCTAAGAGAAATAAGCCAGGCTGACCAGAGAAGGGGTGACAGCACCCCAGGAAAGTTTCCAACCCCTGGGGCTTCCTGGGCAGATGGCTTCCCGGAAGTGTGGGAAGTTGATGTTCCATGAAGGGAACTTCGACAAAGGGAGCCAGAACAGGAGGATCCAGTGGATAAGTCCCCCTGCCTTTCTCCTGAAGGACGGTTCTGAGAAGCCACATGTCCATCGAGCCTCCTGGAGACAGTCAACCAGCTGCCTTCCTGGTGAAGCTGGGACAGGTGAGTAACACAACCACTGGTGTTTCCTTCATCCCCTGCTCCATCCCTTTATCCCTCCCACTGGCTTCTCTGGGATTTTCACACACACATACACACACCTCCCCCCCCCAACAAAGTATTAGCTCATTACATCTGTTCTTCGATTTTAAAAAGCTGCATCAAGAAAACTGACCCAGAAGTCTAGATATAAGATTCAGTCAGATCTCCAATTGGTTAGCCAAGGAAAGCATAATGATTATATAATCAGAAAATAGTCCCTTCTGGTCCT